AWAAAAAACCAAATTATATTATAAATTTTAACTATTTAATTAAATTTTATATTTTTAAACATTGAAATAAAAACTATGAAATTTCACGTGCACCGCACGTGTTTCTTACTAGTATGGCTAAATTAGAATTTGTTTTATTCGTCACTCATTTTTCTAGTACAATATGTGGAGTTGGAAGATCGAACTCATAATCTCTTGATTAGATTTTTATTAGTACAATATGTGGAGGTAAAAGATCGAACTCACAACTTCTTGATTGAAGATATATGCTATTTATCTCTGAGTTATGTCCGCTTTGACTTTTATCGGTCACTAATTTGTAGTTTGCATTTAAATTTAAATTTTTCATAACTAAATTAGATGGGGGTGGAAGAGTTGGGCACTCAATCTTTTTTTCTTTTGGTAGAAAATCAATTTAACGAAATAAGGTCATAAAGAGACAAATTTATTTAAATTTTGAAATAATGAGAAAAAAAAAACACTCCACAAATTCCACAATAGAAATGAGCGGATTCCAGAAAGAGAATTTTTTTTTTTTAAATATCAAGGGTTATTGGACATTTTTTACTTTCAACTATTTTATTTACTTGTTTTTTTTTTCTATTAATTTCTATTGTAACTTATATAGGGTTATAGGAGCTCTCGACTTGTATGATAATTCGAGATAGATCACCCAGTAATAATTTGAATGACTAACCTAACCTAATTAAATGGTTAAAATATTAGTAATCTTCACAGCTAGTTAAATATTCGAATCTTCAACTTCACAATGTATTTTGGGACTGTTTTATTAATTTATTAACGATGGGAACTAAAATTTATTGGCACACTTAAAAATTTTAAAACTTTTAAAGAATAATCTAAACTTAAAGATAAATTCAAAGTTTATTAACTAAGTTTATAATTTAATACTCTCTTTTCTTATAATTTTACCGAAATTTCCAATTTCCATAGGCGCGACACGACATACACCAGCCGGCGGCCGCTCCGACGGGAGAAGAGGAGAACGATATATTATCAGTTTTTTTTTTTCTCTATAATCGAAATTCTTCAATAGCGCAGAGTTGTTGAATTTCTAATCGCGCTCTTCTTTGTTAATTCAATACCAAAATATTTAGCCGATGCATCGAACTTCAACTTCCAGCCTCGCCAAACTCTCACCTTCCTTCTTCTGCCTCGCGTTCGTCCCCAAATCAGCTTTCTCTTCTGCTTCATCCTCGACATTTTTGCAGCCAATTCCTGAATCTCAAGCCCAATTAATCGTAAACCCTCTTTTCCATTTTCTCCCACAAAATCAAAACCCATTCAACATAGTCGAAATCGTTTGTTCGCATCTTAAAACGGGCAATCCGGAGTTGGCTCGTCTTCAATCTGAAATTAAAGAGCTTCTTCCCCACTTGGGCCATCGGGAAGTCTCCAAGGTTTTACTGAGGTGCCAATCTAATTTCGGCTCTGCTCTTGCTTTTTTCAATTGGGTAAAATATGATTTGAATCTTAGACCTAATTCTAAGAATTATTGCCTTATCATCCATATATTGGCTTGGTCTCGACAACTTCCTTTGGCGATGAAATTTTTGTCTGAACTGATAGAACTGTCAGAGGAAGATGTCTTCCAGAATTTGGTGTTGTGCACTGAGCACTGTAATTGGAACCCTGTAATCTTTGAGATGCTTATTAAGGCGTATATGAAAGTGGGTATGATTCAAGAAAGTTATTGGAGCTTTAAGAAGATGGTACGATTGGGTTTTGTCCCAAGTGTGATTGCTTGTAACTGTATTCTAAATGGACTGGCGAAGATGAAATGTGATGGCCACTGTTGGGAGCTATATGAAGAGATGGGGAGGATTGGAGTTCACTCAAATGCGTATACTTTTAATATTTTGACTTATGTTTTGTGTAGAGACGGGGATGTGAATAAGGTTAATGAGTTCTTGGAGAAGATGGAAGAAGAGGGGTTCGATCCCGATATCGTGACTTATAATACTTTGATTGGTAGCTATTGCAGAAGAGGAAGATTAGAAGATGCATTTCACTTGTATAGGATAATGTATAGGAGGGGTGTGATGCCTGATCTTGTTTCATATACTTCCTTGATGAATGGTCTTTGTCAGATAGGGAGGGTAAGAGAGGCCCATCAGATATTTCATCGGATGATCGATCGAGGACTGGATCCAGACGTCGTGTCGTATAATATGCTAATTAGTGCATATTGCAAGGTTGGAAGGCTACCAGAGGCAAGATTATTGCTACACGATATGATTCGAATCGGCCTTTACCCGGATAGTTTCACTTGTAGGATTATGGTGGAAGGATATGGAAGAGAGGGTAGGTTGATCTCAGCTTTGAATTTGGTTGTGGAACTTCAGAAACTTGGAGTTGCTGTTACTTGTGACATATACAAATATCTTATCATTTCGTTGTGCCAGGAAGATCGTCCATTTGCAGCTAAGAGTCTTCTAGAAAGAATTATTAACGATGGTTTCGAACCTGATGCAGGTATCTATGGTAAGCTGATTGAATCTTTCTGTAGAGGCAATCATGCATCTGAGGCATTACTTATGAAATCTGAAATGGAAAACAGAAATTTCGAGCCTGGAGTTGATATTTACAAGTCTCTTATTTGCTGCCTGTGTGAAATCAATAGAAGTGGAGATGGTGAAGGTTTGATGGTAGAAATGGTTGAATCTGGATTGCCTCCAGATCATATAATATGCAGAGCATTGATAAATGGACACTGCAAAGAAGGCAATGCTGATAAAGCAGAATCATTATTGGCCTCGTTTGCCAAAGAATTTCAGTTCTTTGACACTGAAAGTTTCAATGCCCTGATTAAATTTTACCATGATGTTGGGAATGAAACGAAGTTGATGGAGCTGCAAGATCGGATGTTAAAAGCGGGTTTTGTTCCAAACAGCTTAACGTGCCGATACGTTATCCATGGACTATGGAAATCTGCGAGGTTCGGCAAACATAGACTTCAAGCAGTTTAAGTCTTTTGTATTGAATGAAAGGCTTATAGCGAGAACGATCCACCATTCTTGAGTCGATGTCAAAGCTCCAAGTGTGAAGTCATTTGTCAAAAAAAAAACTCATGCGGCATGTATATGTGAGGGTTTTAGGGAGTGGAGATCAGATTTCTCTTTCAATCTCCCCTAGGACCACCCATGGCTTCGTGCCAATTATCATAGGGGACTTGGACGAATTTACGTGGTAACCTCATTCAGTATCACAGGGGACCTGGACGAATTTACGAGGTAACCTCATTCAGTTTTCAGTGAGACGATCTCCAATCCAGCTTACTCAATGGTGATTCTTGCATCATTTAGTGGAGTGAGTTGAGAGATGGATTTCGGAAGATTTAGGCATTGACGATTGAGGGTGAAAATGGTTCATGGTTCAGAAGCAAGAGAACAAGCATATCAGAAACCTCCGTTGCTATTAGACAGTGGTATTTTGAAGAATACAAGGTAAAAACTCGAAGCTTATTACTGTTAGATTGTGGTATTTGATATTTGGAGCAGAGTTAAAAATTTTCACATGGAGTAAAACTTTTTGACGTTTGATTAATGATTTTGCAATGAAAATGGTGTAACACTTGTCATTTTGATTGTAGAAAATACAGAGTTGGGTAGGAAGTTTGAAGCACTTGTCATTTTGCTTTGATTGCAGACGATTCTGTACATTTGTCATCAGAGTCTTCTATTTTATTCCAAATGGTAGAAGCCACAGCAGTGCTATTATTGAAGCATTTTCCCACAAACTTCTACCTTTGATCACAAGTGCTGAGACCGCTTCAAGGCAGAAAATGACCAAAATTATAATAGTGTATAATTTAAGAACAGATTATTCAAATCTCCATCTTCTTCCCGTGTAGTTGGGGATATTTTTTTTCTTGAAATTTTTCCAGTAATATAAATGCTTTTATTGAGCACTGGACCAAAGAGTAAACTGAATTAATGAGAGTGGGAAGATTCTCTAGAAGTTTTGGGCAGTACATTCCAAAACTGAATTTAATGATACGAAGGATTCTTTGGACCCGTTTGATAATATCTCTCTTTTTTGTTTCTGTTCCTTCATAAAATTTCATGATCCAAAAGTAAACATTTTTTTTATTTATGTTTGAAAGAAATTGAAGATGGGTACGAAAGAGAAGAAATTTATTTAGGTTTATGTTGTTTATATAGTTGGTAGATGAAAACGAAAAATTGAAATATAGATAAGAACAGAGAAACACAGAGACAAAAATTATAGAGACACAGAGACAGAAAAATTATTCATAAAAATAGTAGTAAATACAGAAATTAATTAAAAGATGAACATACATTTAACATAAGAACTAGAGAACCAAACACAGTATTTAAAACAAGACAAAAAACAGAGAGAAAACATCCAACATTTAAACTGTTTTATTTAAGAGCAAGAACATAGACAAGATAAAAAACATGGGCTTCTTCATCTTCTTTCTTCTTATTGTTGTTGATAGATATTTAAGTTGTTCGTCGTTCATGTTGTTCAGTGGCGGTCCTCCTCCCTTCCTGAGCCCTGCTCTGAATCTCTTGTCCCACATCCTTTGTCTTCTGCCCCACGTACCCGGCCATGTCCTGCATGCGCCTCTTCGCCATGTCCATCTGCTCCGGCATCGTCCCCGTC